GTGGTGGTGTGGGGGGGGGGGGGGGGGTCGGGGTCAACAGCCCCGATCTCAGACTGACTGCTTGACTAGTTGGCTTGCTGGTTGACTAACTGACTGCAAGTGTGTGCGCGCTAGCCAACTTGTGATGACTGATCTTGGCTGACTCAGGCAAAAAACCGTTGAAGAAAATTGCATTTGTGTACAAAAGTTCCATTTGTTTCTTCTGTCGCATGGGGGGCGGGGGGGTGTGGAAATTGCAAATTTGTGGCCTCAAAAGTAGTTCGAATGTATGCACAACATTTGGGGGTCATTAATTGGGTATGAGCTGCGCACAAAATACTAATTTTGTAGACAGAAAATATCGTCATTCATGACCACAGAAGGCGTCAATAAGTCCTGGCTGTGAAGGTGAAATAACATCTGGCAATGAAGAGAACAGATTTACTTTTGTGAATAAGTTAAGAAAAATAAAAATAAAGAATAGTCTGCTTGAGATCATATGCATAACAAAGTTGCATGAGGTAGAGTGAGACATTCAATCAAGGCTACCTTTTTGTGAAAAATAGAAGAGAGGACATACATTTGCTCCATCCATTCTTTCGGAAAACTGTTTGGTGTTGTCAAGTCCAGCGTATTGTGATTCACTGATTTCCTCTTACATAACAAATAGTGTTTTGCGGCAACGACATTGGTGTAGCACTTACAGGAAAGATGTGGCCGCAGAGTAGCTATTCTGGGAAGATAAAGTAAAACTACTCGCACACTGTGAACCCACCTGACAGACACACGCTCATCATTAACTGGTACTCTTTTAATCCTTTTATTAAAGTGCTGGGTTTACCTTGTGAAGTGAACATGTGTACCATGATCGGAGTTGTGTCAAACAACCTGTAATTACACGTTCTTAGATGGAACAGGGCTGCTTCTTGTTGTGTGTGTGTGTGTGTGTGTGTGTGTGTGTGCTTTTTTTTTTTTTTTTTTGTCTGCAGACAACCGGAGGCAAACTCGACACACTGACACAATAATTAAAGCAGTGACAACAAAAATGTTGAACAGGCAAAAAAAAAAAAAAAAATTGCCTCAATGTTGTATCGTAGTAACTTTGCTGTTTTGATCGCCCCCTTTTCACAAGTCACTTTTGAGATGGTAAATATGAATAGTGAACTAAAATTAAATAGCAAAGGTATTAAGACGGGTTAGAATGCTAACTAGCGAGTTGTTAGCTAGCTAGCTAGCTAGAATTAACAAAAATGCTGACCGCTATCAAAGCTTTAATGACTTAACTATCATTGATAATGGAATGATTTTATCATTAAAAATATTCTTTGCGGTGAAATGGACACAGCTACTTTTGCCAAGTGACTAATCATCAACTAGCTTGGATCACCAACTAGCAAGTGGGACAACTAGCTAGCGATCTAGATTCATTGGAATTACTTATTTTTATTTATTTATTTTTCAATTATACCACAAAGTGACAAACAACCATTTTTACCAACTGACAAATCATCTTAAAAGGAGTAAGAAAAAAAAAAACTATCTTGCTAAAAACAACAAGCCAAATCCTTCTGCGCAGTCCCCCATGTGCAGTCAGACTGATTTCTCCACCACCTCATTGGATTGAGTGAAACGGTCGTGACAAAAAACAAAACAAAAACCAAAAAAAAAACCAAGACTACAAGCGAAGAGGTCGAAGTGCAGCCACGATGATGCAACAGTGGTTTTTCTTGCACAAGAAAAAGTCACTTGTCTTCCCTTCACAGTCCATCAGCGCCACCCAAACACGACCACAGCCAGCCACGAGGAAATTCCAGCGAATCACCCCAGACCGTCCTTTTCCTTGCACTGTCTGCCATATGCCAGCAAGTGTCCCCACTTCCTGGTTATCTTTTCCTGTTAGCCTCCCCGGCACTTCATATAAAGCCGCAAGTTCCTCTTCATGCTTCCTGACTGCGTCATCAGGCGCCGCTAGGCCCTTGGCGCTCACCTTAGCTCTTACCCGTGCTCGGAGCAATTAGCTTGACTCGGTCATATCTGATGAGTCATGCTGACTCCCCCCCTTTGTATTGATCAGCGGTCCCCAACCTTTTTTGCCCCACGGACCGGTTTAATGTCAGACAATATTTTAAGGGGCCGGCCTTTAAGGTGTGGAATAAATAAGACAAAATAAATACAACAAAATAATATGACATGACCTGCATGAAAACTGTGGTATTTTCTAAACATAATAATAAACACGAATCATGACACGAAGAACGTCCTATCTGGCAGCAATGCTCTCTGGTCGCTATGGTAATGGTTAAACGTGCCTTCAAAATAAGATACACAGCAAATACAAAGTGCATGAAAAATATTTCTGTCTCCTGGCTGGGCCTTTTATCCTTCCCCCCCCAAAAAATTCCAAAGACGTTTGTTTTTTACTCATTTCTCTCGCTCCTGGGTTTCATTTTAGCGATAATCACGTGACCGAGAAGCGCGCCTTGACCTGCGTCAAGAGTGACATGTTGTAGACGGATGTAACAGAGAATCCGGTAATTTTTCAAAGTAAAACATATTGCGAAATGAATAAAACGCAAGTAATGTAAGTTATTTATTCATTCTGTGCGGCCCGGTACTAAATGACCTACGGACCGGTACCGGTCCGCGGCCCCGGGGTTTGGGGACCATTGGTATGGATGACTGAAAGGGCTTGAGTGACAGGGTTGCTTGTATGTTGATGCACAACGTCAGGACACTTTTTTTTTTTGGTTTCAATGTAAGAAAGAAATATGGAGCAAAATGTTGGGAAAAAAATGACAGATACTTACTCAATATATTTACCGAGTAAGCTTTGTCTTTACTTGGACGTGACGTTTTGTAATATTTGCATTTCCCACACAAGTTTGGTGCGCAACGGGGGCACACACGATGACGGCGAGGGTGTGTGAGTGTCTGATGTGATGCAACTGTGTGTGTCATTTGCAGAAGTGTGCGTGTGTGGTCAGAATCATTCCAGGAAAATCAAAATTCATCTTTAACCGGCATCTGTTAATGTCATTCAGTCGCATCCGGGCAAAGTAAGTGACAGCAAAAGGAAAAAGAATCCAAAAATCTTTTTTTTTGGGGTGGGGGCGTGGGTGTTAATAAAACAGCACAGAAAAGGGAGCCTGAGTTCCAGTTCTTCTCTCTCTTGGTTCTGTTGCCCTCGTCAGGCCTCACTTCTGCTACCGCGAAAAGATCCTCGCCATTAAAAAAATGAGAGAACATGCCGGATGAGAAAACCAGAGTGCAGCACTCTATCCCCAAAAGTCATCTGTGCGCTCTGGATGAGCAGCGCTGGCTCCACTATATTCAATTTTCTCTCTTTCTGGGTTTTGCTTTTCGCCCTTGTGGGGATATTAGGTTGCCTCGCTCTGGAAATGGAAGCAGATATACAATCAAATAGTGTCTTTTTT